CTCGCTCTGTTTTCCTAGCATTCACTGCTATGAATTTTCTCTGTAGAACTGCTTTCATTGTGTCCCATAGATTTCTGTATGTTGTATTGGCACTATCATACATTTGTGAAAACTGTCTGATTTCTTCTTTAATTTCCTCTGTGACCCATTGATTGTTCAAGAGAGTGTTCTTCGATTTCCATGTGTTTATGAAGTTCTTATGATTTCTTATTCTGTTGATCTCCTGCTTAACTGCACTATGATCTGATAATATACAGGGGGTAACTTCAATTTTGCAGGTATTTAAACCTGTTCTGTGAGCTAGTCTGTGGTCTATTTTGGAGAATGACCCATGTGCAGCTGAAAATAATGTATATTCTGATTCTGTGGGCTGGAACACTCTATAGATGTCTATTAAGTCCATTTGTTCAAAATCTTGGTTCAGTTCTAGTATTTCTTTGTACATTTTTTGTCTAGATCATCTATCTATTTGTGACAGTGGGCTATTTAGGTCCCCCACTACAACTGTATTAGTGCTTATTTGGGTTTTCATGTTCCTAAAGTTTGTTTTATATAGTTGGGGGGAATTAATATTTGGTTCATATATATCTATGATTGTCATCTCTTCCTCTTGAACTGTTCCCTTTGCAAGGATGTAGTGGCCTTATTTGTCTCTCTGTTTTTATTTTCTGGCTTTTTTTTTTACTTGAGTTTATTGGTACATTTTAGGGATACAATACAGTTACATTCATTGTTAGGATCTTGGACCTCTACATGACAGGTCTTGTTTGTCTCTATCAGTTTTTGTTTAATGTGAATAAGATAGTTACCCCTGCATTTTATAGACTCCTGTCACATGGAGAACTGCTTTTCATCCTTTCACTTTCCGTGTATGGGTTTCTTTTCGCACTAGCTATGTTTCTTGTATGCAACATATTGTTGGATTTTGCTTCTTAGTCTATTTGGCCAATCTATTTCTCTTGATTGGTGAATTGAAGCCATTGACATTGATGGTTATAACTGATATGGACTGACTTATTATTGTCACATTATTGTCTGTTTGTTGACTCTTTTTTAACTTTTCCCCTATCCCTTTAGTTTCTTGCCCTGCCTAGTTGAGTTGCTCTGTTGGGCCTCATGGTATTGTGACCTTCATTGTATTTTTCTAGGATATTATTTTTGAATTCCATGTAGTGCTGATTTGGTATTCATGAAGTTTCTCAGGTGTTCTTTGTCATGGAAGTATCTTATTTCCCCATCCATTTTGAAAGAGAGTTTTGCAGGGTACATCAGTCTAGCTTGGTGGTTGTATTCTTTTAGGGTTTGAAATATCTCACTCCAGGCTCTCCTTGACCTGAGGGTTTGTGTTGCAAAGTCTACTGTGATTCTTACTGGCTTTCCTTTGCATGTGATTTGTTTCATTTATCTAATTGCATGTAGTATTTTGTTCTTCTCTTTGGTTGCTGGGATCCTGATTGTTATATGTATAGCTGTAGATTTTTTTATTATGACTAATTGGTGTTCTGTATGCCTCACTTATCTGCATGTGAAATTCTTCCCCTTTGTTTGGGAAGTTTTCTGTCATTAATTCTGTGAACAGCTTTTTAAAGTCATTTGCATTTTCTCCTGCTACTTCATGGATTCCTATTATTCTTATTTTATTCTTCTTTGCATCATCTATGAGTTGTTGGATCAATTTCTTACAATCCCTTACTGTTTTTAATAGATCTCTCTTTTCACCGTCACTGACTGCAATCCTGTCTTCTATATCTGAAATTCTATCCTCATATTTACTTATCATGCTGTGAAAAGTTTTAATAGAGTTTTTAATCTCTTGGATATCCCTTTGAATCTATTTCATGGACTCCATTTCTTCCCTATGTTGGGCATTCATTGTTTCCATTTTCTTTTTTATGTTGGGACTTCATAGCTTCTATCATCGTCCTAAGCTCATCTATTTTTTTGTCAATTTCTGTTCTAGAGTATCTATTAATGTCTTTCATTGTACTAACCTTATCAATAGTTATCTGGGAAATTATTTCTGTTTTGAATTTTTCTAGAGCCTTATTGATCTGTTGTTGTTCACAAGCCTCCCTGTTTGGGAGCTTGGACTGGAGGGCAAGGTGCAGAATCACCAGGCAGACACTGGGGAGGTTTTTGGAACACTTCCACTTTATTCAGGAAATGCACAGGCTATATAGGGAGGGCACCATGGGGGAGGAACATGGGAGGAACATTTAATGTTTGGTGATATCTTATTGACCAGAAATGTCAGAATAATTTTTCTTGGGCAAGGCTAAAGAGTCATGGACTAGGGGCTGAGGTGTAGCCTGTTGGACCCAGCATCTATGCATTTAGGTGAGTTAGCTCAGCCTTAGCAAGGTCTCTGAGCAGCTCACCTGGCCCAGCCAGGCTTGAACTTCTCCCACAATCTGTTTTATTACTTCCTGTACTATGAGTTCAGGGTGTTCTGGTGATTGCCAGACTTTTCCATCTCATTTCCCCTAGAATTTGCTGTTGGGGAACTGTAATTCTATCTTTGTGTCTTGCTTAAGTGTTTTCTCATTTTTACTTTTGTTGTTGGTCTGTCCTTGGTTTAATTCCTGGGTTATTACTTTGATCTTCTTGATATAGTTGCTCTTCAGCTTTTGAGTCTCTAATGACTCATAGACATTTTCATTTTCATAATATCAGAAAGGATAACTCATTAAATCATCACAAAACTTTAGCCTAATTGATGCAATCAGAAACACAATAGCATCATGCACAGCTTAAAAATTGACCAATTATGGTAGTTATTAAACTATCACCTTTAAACCATGTGAATTAAATCAAAACCAAGGACCAGCCCAAAATATGTTTATAGTGAATAAACTCTTCAATGTAGCAACTTTACCCTTTTATATGGGGACTTAGACAGTGTTTGGAAGAGAGGAAGTGAAGCCAGAGGACACAGGATGATCATGCAAACTTTAGGACACTGTTGAAGGCAAGAGGGAAAGACATAGTGAAAGAACAAGGACAAAAGTAGAACCAATTAACTGTAATAGGGACCACTTTCCTTTGAAACTAGTGACTGTCAAGTGAAGCAAAAAGAAAGATGAAAAGAAAAAAGAGAGGCCGGGCGTGGTGGTGCATGCCTGTAATCCCAGCACTTGGGAGGCTGAGGCATGAGGATTGCTGTGAGTTTGAGACCAGCCTGGGCTACTAAGTGAGTTCCAGGTCAGTCTCATTTATATAGTGAGACCCAAACAAAAAAAAAAAAAAAAAAAAAAAAAAAAAAAAAAAAAAAAAAAAAGAGAGAGAGAGAGAAAGAAGAAAAATAAAAAAAGAAGAAACCTGAATTAGGGTAGGAACAGGAACAGAAAGGGAGAAGAAGAATAATATGGGGAGAAAGAGACTGTGTGGGAAAAAGAAGACAGGAAAAGAGAAAGAATTTTTGGAATGGAATGAGGAAAAGAAAGAATTTATGGAATGGAATGGGGAAAAGAAAGAAGAAAAATAATTTGAAGAGCCTCTTTCAGGATATAGCTCTGTGGTTACAATAGACAATGCTCAGAACTAAGTCATTTAGTCTCAACTAGCCAATGGCAGACCCCTGAGATTCAGGCTGAATTCAGGCTGCAAGTCCCAAACTTAGCTCCCTGACCTCCTGCAGGGTTGAACTCTGCAAGTTTCTACTATAGGTTCTCTCTGCCTTTTCTCTGAAGATAGTCCAAGTTCTGATTGAAGGTGGTGATCCCTCAAACATACCAGCTGTGGAGGTCTGATGTGCCTTTGTTGCAGTTGTGCACTTCCATTCTATCTTCTGGATCTCAGTAAAATGATGTTTATGGCCACCTGTGCTTCTGCAGAGTGGAATCAGAAATTGGCACAATCAGAAGGCCTGATAGGATGGGGGAGGGGTACGTTGCAGAGGCACCTTTGTGGCTGACTGGTCCTCACCAGTCCTCTGGATGCAGGCCGGGTGAGGGCCGGCTCACTGAGTGGCTAAGCAGTCTTCACTGGTCCGCTGGATCTGCAGGGTAAAAACTTTGCTCACAGCCTGCCTTGGGCATAATCAACAGGGTGGCCCCCCATAACTATCAGCCAGAATACAAAAACAGTAAATGTTGGTGAGTATTCAGAGAAAATGGAAACCTTACACTCTGTTGGTGTGAATGTATACTAGTAAGTCATTGTGAAATATGTATAGAATTTCCTCAAAAACAAAACAAAATATAAATAGAACTACCACATTATATAGTTGTGCAATTCCTTGTTAAAATTTCTAATTTGTCAGCAAACAATAGAGAGACTTGTCTATCACTGTTTATTGGGGCACTACCCATAGTAGCCAGGTTATGGCGTCAAACTAAATGACCATGAGTGGATGAATTGATAAATAAGGAGTAGTACACATGGACAGTGCTTTGGCATTTCATCATAAAGAGAAAAAAATTCATGTTATTTGTAGGAAAATTGTTGTAATGGGAGATCATCTGGCTTAGCAAAAAAAAAATCAGATGTCAAAAGATAAATACCATGTTATTTGTGATATATGGAATGCAGAGGGTAAAAGATAACAGAATAGGAGAAGAGGGGCAATGATAGAGGCAATGGGGCCCAGGAAAGGGCTGAGCAGGACTAAGAGGAAACAGAGGAGATGGATGTGATCAAAGCACATTACAGAGCACATGCAGAGAAATGTCACAATGAAAGCCATAACTGTACACAATTCGTATGTGGAAATGATCACGATCAAAGGGAAATAAATAAAAAATGAACAAATAAAGAAAGATGAGGAAACATAGTGTTTCTCAAAAGCCAAAGATACATGGACCATGCTGCTCACCCTGCCCAGAGAGATTAATCATATGGGAAATGTATGGCAAGGACCATGCTCTCTGAGATTGCAGACAGTGGAAATTTCTAGTTCAAAGGATTTATCCAGTCCTTTCTTGTCATCCAGTTGACCTTGAGAGGGGAGTGTCCTTACTTGTAAATCACAGATGCTCACTGGAAAAGCAGCCACCCCGTATTCATGGATATGTGCCTGTGGTTGGGAAGGAGACAGGAAGAGACTGGGCTTTTAAAGACTTCACATTGCTCCAGGATTGGAGGATTCTATTCCATGCCATCTTCACATCCTTGTTTCTCAGGGTGTAGATGAGTGGGTTGAGCAGTGGGGTGATAATACAGTAGAAGAAAGACATGAATTTGGCCTGGGAACTTTCAGCTGAAGGTTGGAGGTATAAGAAAATCCCTATTGAAAAGTACAAAGTGACCACCAGCAAGTGGGAACTGCAGGTGCTGAGTGCCTTGTGCCTTCCTTCAGCTGAAGGGAGCTTCAGTACAGCTCTACCAATGAAGATGTAGGAGATGACCACCATCAGGGGAGGCATCATTCCAAATGGGATGGTCATCAAGGTGAGGATCAGCTCATTGGTAGTGGTGTCCCCACAGGCCAGCTTGATGAGCACAAGTATCTCACAGAAGAAATGGTCCAGGGTATGGTGCCCACAGAGAGGGAGCTGGAGGGTCAGAGTGGCTTGGATCAGAGCATTGGCCAGGCCACTGGACCAGGAGGCAGCTACCATCTGCATACACACCATGGGATGCATGATGAGAGTGTACTGGAGGGGCCGGCAGATGGCCACATAGCGATCAATGGCCATCATGGCCAACAGAGCACACTCACTGGAGGTTATCCAGCAGAAAAGGAAGACCTGTGTGATGCATCCCCAGGCAGCAATGGTCTTGTCTGGTCCCCATAGGTTGTCCAGCAGCTGGGGCACAATAGTGCAGGTGAGACCAAGGTCCAGCAGAGCGAGGTTGTCCAGGAAGAAGTACATGGGTGTCTGGAGTCTGGGGTCGACCAGGGAGAGGAGGATGATGGAGCTGTTCCCCACCAGGGTGAGGAGATAGGAGACCAGGACCACTGCAGAGAGGGACATCTCCAGCCACAGAAACTCTGAGAAGCCCAGCAGGACAAAAGCATTGGGAAAACTTGCATTTTCTCTTTCTATGGCTTCAGTCTCTAGTATATGGCTGGAAGGAAAGGGACAGATATTAAGGATAAACATACATTTTCTATCTTTTTATCTATATTTTATTAATATTACATAATGAAATGACCTATGATGTCTTTGTGGTATTACAGAATATTACAGAACCATGGATTTAATCAACTTGCAAGTCTGTAGTCATGAAGCATTTTGGAAAAGTCAGAAAGAATATCACTGGGTATGAGGGACAAATGGTATAAAAAGCTTCAGACACAGGAAATAGAGAAACTTTGGATAAATTAGTCACTACATTGGTGATAACTGAAGGGAAACTGGAGTGCAGTAGTGAACACTTTGAGAGATTGTGGTCAGTAGCAAATGCATGTTAGTTCTATGAAAACAAGAAAAATAACCTTATGCAGAGAGTGAGGCATGCAGGCTGAGAAAGTCATATTTATGGTTGTACTCCTGGTATAGGGAGGTAGGCACATTGTTTGAATCTAGAGCAACACTCTCAGAGTCCTTGTTATTCCTGTGAGAGACAGTCACCCTGAGGACTTATTGCAGGTGATATCTGCACCTAGATCATCATGTTCTTGCATTAAAATGCAATAAATCACACTCACTGTGAGGCTTTGGAGAAGACTCTGGACTAACAACCTATATGGAGCAGAAGGGAGCAGAAGGCATGTGGAAACTGGTGACTTTTGCATTCTAACAATGATTTTCCCTTTAAATAACAAACAAAAACCTTGATAGCTCACAACAACACACAGGAATTAATGCAGCAGCAGAGCAGTTGTGTTGAGAAGACCCCAATACTGCTTCCTAGACCTCAAAGTAAGGAGCTTGCAGCACTTAGCTTTTAATGGAGCTTCCTTTTCCTCCAGACCAAGGGTCATCACAATTCTCATTCTGCACTTGATCAGTGGGGTAAAGAACCAACACCTGTGTAGTCAGTGCAGAAGAACTTGGAGTAGAGACCCAGGGCCATGCCCCAGGGAAGTAGAGTGCCACTAGGACAGAGCCAGAGTCCCCTGAGACCAGGGTCTGTCCCTGTCCCTCTCCCTGCTGAAGAACATGCCAAGCTACAGGGAGACAGAGCTTCAGGGACAGAGGAGGGACTCCAGGCTGTGTGGTGTCCGAGAGGACACTGCGGAAGGATTCCGCTTCATGTGCAACTCTCCTCGCAGGAGAGGGCACTTGGTTCTGGAATTAAACCTGGGAAAAATGCTGAAGTTTTTTTAAAAATCATAACCTAAAAGGAAACAAACAAAAGGTTAATCGCGAGAAAATGTATGCCTTGGCTTTCTTATGTGAAATATTGTACAGATTATGAAAATCTACAGAAACTACTTATTCTGCACTGCCAAATTATATATGGTGTCACTGTGCTTCTTTGTCAAACATTTGACAGTTGGATTTTAAATGCATGTACTTAGGCGTGCAGAGCAGGTTCAGCTGGGATCTGGAGATGGCGACCCAGCAGCACCTTGGAGGATCTGGAGTTGTTGCAGAGAAGCTGTTACATGGACATCATCATGTTGCCTACATGGGTTTGCACTGGGAGGTCAGGGTGATATGCTCCATAACATTTTCATAAATATTACATAAAAATCATTGATAGTCAATTTTGGATGTGTAAACATTATATATTTTAAAATGTAATTACATAAATTGACAGAAGTATTTGTCAACAATGTACAGCATGATGTTCTGAAGTATATGTGTGTGGTGGGTTGTCTCTTAGCTTAGCTAACTAAATTATGTGTCACCCAAACCATAATCTTATGGTGATAACATCAATGTCTACTTTCCTAGCATTTTCAGTAATCTGATATAGAACTCCTACTTTTCCACGTATCTTGCTGTACTCTACTGTCCTTTGTCCCACACCTCTCAACCCACCATTCCCAACTGCCCACTTCTGATCACCATTCTGCTCTACTTCAGTAAGATCAGTGTTTTCAGATTCCAGATTCGAATGAGACCATGTGCAGTTGTCTCTCCCCTCACCACTGTTAGAATGACTGATGTAAAAAGTACAAAGATAACACGCATTGGTGGGGCTGTGGGAGAAGGGAACTCAGGCATAGTTCTGGGGTATGAATTAGAGTAGCTGTGGAAAACAACATGAATTACAATAAAATGATCTACCACATAACCAGTCACTACTACTTCTGAGTGTACAATCCAGGAAATGAGGCAGCTTGTTAAAGAATTATCTGCCCTCCATTGCAGCATTATTCAAAGACAAAATGGAAAATTGACCTCAGTGTCTGTTGGTGGAAGAGCAGATAAGAAAGTGTGTTGTGTACATGCAATATCACAATGTTCAGCCATGAAAGAGGAAATCCTGTCATTTGGGACAAATGGGCAAACCTGGGGGTTGTTACATTTAGAGAAATTCACCAGGCACAGAAACACAAATGTTTGTGAAAAGAACATTCTCCATGCAAAAACACCATTAGAAAAATTTGGTTTAGTTGGGTCACCAACTTCTGTGATAAAATTCATCTTCTGGAAACTCAGGAACAAAAATCACCTCATGGCTTCCCTTGTTGCCATGCCAGACTTGTTATCCCTGGGACGGTTCTGTTTCCAGAGGCAATGATACGAATTCAGTCCTCATGCTCACCTGCTCGAGTGATCTCCAGGAATTATAATCCTCATTTAAAGCACAGAGGACCCTCAATTTACAGTCAGGCCCGATGTGGCCCCTGCATCTCCCCATGTTTTCTCTCTCGTATCTCATCCTTTCCTCTGCCTGCTCCCGCTGCAGGCCTAGATCCCTGCGTGGGGCTTCTCTGCCTCAGCTGGTCTGCAGAAGGATGTGTCTTGTGTACAATCTGCACCAGAGTGGGCTCCTCTGAGAGTCACCCTACCTTCACAGGTCACTGTGACTTCTGCCACCACTAGAGTCATGCTGCTGCCTCCTTTCCTGACTGTGAATGTTATGGGAGTTTGATGTATGCTTAAGTTATTAAAGTTTTATTTGGAGCTGAGGATATATTTCAGTGACTGAGGATTTCTCCTAGTTGTAGCCATAGAACTACAAAAATAAATATGCAGACAATTAAATACATACGAACAAAAGTTGTTTTTCTATTTATTGTTACTTTTTATTTTTCCTATTTATTTGGTCCATGTGCTTATTCCACAATTATATGTGATGTGTACCGACCAAATGAGAATTGCCAGCCTCATTTTCTATGATATATAAGTTTGCTTCCCTCATGAGTAAGTTGTTGTAGCAGTTACTTAATGCTTGAACAAATAAACAGAGTCTGGAATTGGAATTGGGACCAGATCATTTTTTCCCCACAGCTGCACCTCAGTTTTCTCTCCTATTTTCTCTCCACAGAAATCCTCATGCTGTAATGATAAGTGGCATAAGTCAGACACACACAGCTTACATGTCTCATGTATGAGAAACTAAAATATAACTGAAGAAGAAAATAAACAATAGCTAAGGAGAAGTGTGGAGGTAGATTTTATTTTCCAAATGGGAACGGTAGCAAGATGTGCAAGGAGCGATGAATGTGGGGGGAAGAGGACGAGTTATGTACTTGCTCCAACTCCACACGAGCAATGCAGTAATTCCGGACTGCAAATGTGTACCAACGAAACAAACTGAGAAAAGAAACGCTCACGTCGTCTGCTCCAGTCTACTTCCTCACAGCTCACTCACACTTAACTCACTCACCTGCAAGGGATGTTTCTTTCACTTGTCATACAGACTTGTTATTCCTTGTCCTAAATTTGGCCCAAAGCTCTGTGTTTGAGAAATTTTCTTTTAACTTAAGATAGTTGGTTCTTACATCATGTTAGACACAGTGCTAGAGATGCTACATTTGTTTTCTTCTTATTTTGTCTGCACAACTTGTTCAGTACTTGTTCCTCTCTGGAGCCTCAGTGTATGCTCGGATGGGGTCACATTTGGGTTGAAGAAGATTCTCTCCTCAAGGGCTCACTTTGCTTTCCATAGTTTTCCTCCTGCTGCCTAGAATAACCCTGCTCCTTGGCTAAGTTAGAGAATCTTTTTCACAGCCCTTTGGGGGACTCCCTGCAGGAGAGAGGAGGCCCCGCAAGGTGCTCATGAGTAACCGGGTCTCCCCTCGTTTACCTTGACATTGAAGAGCAGAGGTGCAGAGAGTGAGGAGCCAGCAGTGGGAGAGTTGGGTCCTGGGTCAGGGACGCAGCTTCCTTCCGGGGTCTCGGGTTCCATCCACAGAGGGTGCAGTCCCTGAACCCAGCCCGGAGAGGGCATTTGTTGAGTGCAGTCCTCCTGAGATTCCTGGCTGGATGCTCTGAGACCTGAATTGCTCTTGTACATAATTACCTCCAGGGCTGAGACTGTACGAAGGAGCAGTCCAGAGGGATTTGCGCTTCTTCTAGTTTATTGTCTTTGGAATCATCTTTTCCCGGGGCGAGAGTCCGAGTCAGCTGAAGCTCAGGACCTGGAATTAAAGAATAAAAAGTGATATTATGTGTGGCCACAGTGTGCTGTCCTCAGGGCTCAACCACAGTGGAAATTCTGTTTAAAAGTTTCATGGTTTACCACAGACAAACCCTATATTATCCAGACCCAACATTTCTTAGCTTCTGATATTGGATGAACTTTCATGTATTCAAGGTGACATGAATATAAAGAAATTTTGTGACTAAGTACATGTGAAACAATACAATATTAATCTCAGCAGATTCCCTACATCAGAGGGTTGGGAGGCTCCTCTGTGTCCTGGACTTTACTTTGTAGTCTGTGGGCAACTTTATGGCATCTTTATGGAGCAAGGTCTCTTGCAGTACAATTTTTTCTCAAAATGTCTTTTTCAATCTTACGAGACCCTCAGTTTGTTCGGGCCTTCCAATGCTACTGATATCTCCGCCTCTAGGAAAAGCTCAACCTGCCTGGCTTGGTTTTGAAGACTTCACTGAGTACCGTGAGTTTTCCACACCCTGAGGACTGGCGATGAGCTGGTGCAAGCCCGGTGTGGAGATGGCGTGTTCGCAAGACATCTACAGCTGCTTCCCGTGATGTCTGCAGTGTCTCCACCAGCCCCTTCCCAGCCCACCCTGTTCATGATGCATGAAGGAGGCCATCCTGTCCCTGTGGCCCACAGCTCACCATGAGTGCCCAGCATCATCATGTCCAGGCAGCGGTGCCTGGGTGTAGAGAAGCTGAGGCTTTACCCTTGACACAGGGAGATATCTGGTTGCCCAGGGAGCTTCAGCTGTGCAGAAGAAAGAGCGGAAGAGGAGCGGAGACACCAGGAGGCTGACTGAGGGAGAGAAGTAGAACGAGAAATGAGGGATGAAGGCAACTGATTCGTGAAAGGGACCATCTCCACTGAAGTCTGCATCCTGGCAACAAAGAGTTTTCCAGTTGCTTTTTTATATTATCAACAGTCTGAGGGACTTGCCAGTTGCTTGACTATGAACTTCCTTATTGTTACTGTTTCTCTTCATGGTACCATAACTCCTCTGTATCCTTAAAATTTTAAAGTTCTCTTGAAAGTCATCATATAAGATTGAAACTAGAAAATTTAAAGTTACAAATTTATATCATGCACACCGGCACACTCCTGCGATCCTCACTACTCAGGAGGCTTGGACAGGAGAATCACAATTCAAGATCAGCCTGGACAGCTTAGTAAGGGCATGTTTCAAAGTAGAAAATTTGAAAGGACTGGGAATTCAGTCTGATGGTACAGCACCTCTGGATCTGATTCCAAGTGTTGCTACCAATGAAAATCACAAACATCCAAATGCAAATGTACTTTTCCATTTTTATGAACTTAACTATAAACAGGTTTAATAATAAACAGGAAAAATACTTTGCCTGACATTTTCAAACATCATAAAGGTCAAATTCTTTTCTTCATCAGTTTGTGTTGACAGATGACTGCATATCTTTTTTAGCATACACAGTGATGCTACATACATTTGTGCATTGTGTGTCAATGAACACAAGGCTCTTACATGTGGATAACCTCAAAACTTTTCTTATTTTTAGTTGAACACATTCAAAATTTTGTCTTCTAGCTATTTTGAATAATACAATGCAATACTATTAACTCTAACCACCTTCTGTGAAGTTTGATGTTTTCCCCCTAACAATACACCAGCCACCCGCTGTGACCTTGCTCCTGCTTAGCAATCTGTCGTTACCCCTTCAAATTGGCCATCTCAGTCTCTGGTAACCATTTTTCTTCTCTGCCAGAGACCCCTGTAGTCAGGTTCCAGTACCCTCCTGCCCAGTGTGTAATATATATATAT